AATGAACAATCCAAGTATCAGTAATGCTTATAAAAGATACGTGCGTGGTATGTGACAAGGACTTAGTTAATAGATTAATAGGAGATCGTGTAAAATAACCTTACGAATTGCTGTACGTTTTTCTTAAATTTTTAGACAGAATTTCAAATAATTGCATTTTGTTTATTCAAAACATCAATTAAATGTTATTATTGTTTCTTATTTCAAGATCTTTTACAATCAATTAAATGCTAGTCTCTATATAATTTGAAGTTTTTATAAGTCATGGGGTAAGAAATTTCATCAATTATTTCTTTTAACCACACACGTTACATGTAACATCCACCACTATAACATTGAATTAAAAAGAAAAGAATATAATTGAGGATTTTAAAAATAAATAACACATTAAATTTTTGTTAAAATTTATTTAAATTAGGTAAACTCAGCCAACTTCCCAATTATGTACGATTGTTTAATGGGGTTGCCCGAAGAGGTGTAACATCGCCATTAATGTATTATACGTTGGACTTTTATCTAATTTAAGGTAATCTTTTTTTTTTTTTTTTTTTTGCCTTTTTAATGGTTAATTTTATTTTATATTATTTTTTTATAGAATAAACAAATTAAATTATACGAATCTATAAAATTCTAAAAGTTTATTATTTATTAAAAGTGAATTATATTATGGTTTTAAATGTAATAAAATTAGGTCGATTATTTTATTTAAATTTATTAAGATGCATATGAACGTATTTGAATATTAAAATATAAATTAATAACATAATTTTATCTTATTTATATCTCTAGTTAATATCAAGCCTGATTATGTAAGGGTAAAATATAACAAATACTAATTATTATATGGAAATAAACTAATTTTGTTATTCTAATTAAATAAATAATTCAATGTCTTTAATGATTCTCTCCTTACAAACCAGAAAATGAAACCCAGACGTAAATAAATTTATGTATATATATATATATATATATGTATATATTCATATATGTGTCCCCGTGCGTGTTTTTGTTGGGAAAAGTAAAGCTCTAGATATATAAAGCTTCAAAGTAAAACTTAAATCTTAGTTGTATTGAGATTATATTAATGTTTAACAATGAATTAAAAATATATTAGGTTATAGTTAATCTTGTGATTGTAGATCGGATATGTTGAAAAGATTGCTATATTTTTCTGTTCTTTTGAGTGGGTCCCGCTATCCGTTGTGCAGAAAATCGGGTCGAACGCTACCAGGCTCTTTGAGAAGAAGACGGACTTTTTTGAAAACTGTTTCCAGAATCTTATAACAAAAATGACAATTACAAACTCTGTTTGACCGATTAACTTAAACCAAGAAAGGTAACGAACTAAGAACAAAAGATGAAGACACATCTCTTGTCTTCCAAGCTACAGACCAAAACAATTTCGAATTCAGAGGTTTAAACGTGTAGTATGCTTTACTTATCATCAAGTTTGAGCCTTACCTTACAGACTTATATTTCATCTTCAGCGCTGAACCTGTTGGAGAGATCCGATTTGCAGAAACACAGACTTATATTTCATCTTCAGGTTCGGAGTCATCCTTTTTTTTTTTTTTTTGTTTTCCTGTTCAATTTTGAGGTTTTTCAAGTTTTTAACTTCTCTTAATATTTCTGGGTTTTTGTTAAAATTTTCAATCATGCAATGCACTGTTAATTTCCTATCATTCAAATGCATAACCTCTGGTTCTCTCTTGCTCATGTTGAATTCCTGTCTCTGTTGATTTTATTGATTCTTTTTTCTTTTTTCCGTGAATGGATTCGTGTTTGGGGCATTTTCATAAAATTCTTTTTCTTTTCAATAATAAAGCGCTGTTTTTCGTAATGAGAGAAGAATAATAAAACTTTGTTCGGATAATCTTGATTATCTTTTTGCTTCAAAATCTGACCCTCTTTACCAAAACTATTTTTGTTCGTTTAACGCGGATCTTTCAAAACTGTTTCATGAATC